ATTGTTCCACCTCTTACTTTGGCGAGTAGCGACTGGGATCTTAAAAGCTAGCAAGCTGCCATCTAGATGCAACAATGGGTCTCTCCTCATCCAGATCCTATACTTAAGCCCTTCATAGGACCTGTGGTAGTTTAGTTTGTGTGTCAACTTGGCTGGGCCTGGTTGAGTGGCTGAACAGCTGGATGCAGTATTCCCCATGATAAGACTGGTAATCAACTCTACGGGGGAATCTACTGTGAGCAGCTGAGTAGGTGCCTTAGGGAATGTGGTCTGCTTCCTGTATATAAGCAGAAGCCTTGGGGAATGGTTTGTAGCTTATGGCACGCTTGGACCCTGCATGTAGCCATGTCATTCACTGTTCAGCAACCTGTCATACTCTGCTGACCTTGGGACTTACAATGGACTTAAATTAATGGCCTGCCGTGTGGTTTGGTAACACTGGGACTGTGCCTTTTTACCTGTCAACCTTGGACTTCTCAGCCTCAGCAGCCAGAAGCTGTCTGAGTGAAGGAACACTTACAGCTCTAGTGGGCTGGGAGCAGGAGGCAGAGCTGGACCCCAAGGTTGAGGGGCTTTCACCCAGCCCCTAGAGCCTCGCACTTTGAACTTGGACTTAAAGCCTACAAATTTTAAGAATAAACTCCTGTTTGTTAAGGCCATCCCATTTATGGTATATTTCTTGTCAAAGCGGTACTAGGTAACCAGAACACAATACAGGTTGAGTGGCTGGGCAGCTAGTGGTAGTTATTCCTCATGATGAAACAGGCAATCACCTCCATGGTGGGATCTACCATAAGCAGCTGAGAAGCTGCCTTTGGGATGTGGTCTGCTTCCTGTATATAAGGAGAAGCCTTGGGGATAGTCCCTAGCTTATGACATGCTTAGACCCTGCATGTAGCCATGTCATTGTTCAGCAGCCTGCCATGCTCTGTCGATCTTGGGACTTACAATGGCCTGTTTGGTAACATTGGGACTGTGCCATTTTAGTTGTCAACCTTGGGCTTGTTAGCCTCAGCAGCCAGTAGCTGCCTGAGTGAAGAAAAGCCTCTAGCTTCAGTGGGCCGGGAGCAAGAGGCAGAGCTGAAGCCCAAGGTCGAGGGGCTTTCACACAGCCCCTAGAGCTTAGCACTTTGAACTTCTAGCCTCCAAACTGTAACAGAATAAACTCCTGTTTGTTCAAGCCATCCCATTTGTGGTATATTCTTGTCAGAGAAGCACTATGCACAGAATTTGGTACCGGGAGTGGGGTGCTGCTCTGACAGACACCTAAAATGTGGAAACAGAAGTGGAGTGCATCCTTGATCCAAGACCCTGGCAGAGAGACCCCGGCATACAGCATGAGAGACGGCAGGAGGAGAACCAAGAGACTGGCAAAGAGATACCAGCTGAGAGACCAGCATGAAAGACGACAGTAGCAGAGCCTAGAGACGGGCATTTAACAGCAACAGGCTTACCAGCCCACGGAGGAGAAAGCTGGATGCCACTGGGTAGGCGGTTTCCTGGCAGAGTGGGTTGCCTTTGGGCATTAATTGGTGAAGTGACCAGCATAAAATGGAGTAGCAGGTTGGCTGGCCCACAGAGCAAGAAAGCTAAGTGTCCTTTGGGCAGAAAGATTTCTGGTGGAGGGGGTTGCCCTCTGGGATTAATCAGCAAAAGCACAGAGACTAAGGAAACAGGAAGCAGAGCTGCCTCAGCCTCAAAGGGTATGACCATGGCCTTTGGGGGTGGAACCATCATAACCCCCTAGGTTTCAAAGAGTTAGACCTTCACCAACTCAGTTCTCGAGTATGGGGCTGCTCGTTGATGTGAGCTAGTGGAATGGAGCCACAGCTGCTGCCTGAGTGAGGGGGCAGGGCTGCCATGCCCAAAAGGGAGAGGAACGGAACCTGCCAGGCTAAGGAGGTGAGGTCAGCATCTAGAGGAACTAAGGGACTGGAGCCATCTAGTGAGAGAGATCTGTACAGGTGCCAAGTTGAGTGGCTTGGCAGCTGGTAGTAGTTATTCCCCATGGTGAGATCTACCACAAGCAGCCGAGTAGCTGCCTTTGGGATATGGTCTGCTTCCTGTATGTAAGGAGAAGCCTTGGGGAATGGTTTCTAGTTTATGGCATGCTTGGACCCTGCATATAGCCATGTCGTTGTTCAGCACCCTAGCATGCTTTGCCAACTTTGGGACTTACAATGGACTTGAATTAATGGCTTGGCATGTGGTTTGGTAACATCTTGCGCTTGTTAGCCTCAGCAGCCAGTAGCTGCCTGAATGAAGAAAAGCCTCTAGCTTCAGTGGGCTGAGAGCAAGAGGCAGAGCTGAAGCCCAAGGTTGAAGGGCTTTCACACTGCCCCTAGAGCCTGGCACTTGGAACTTGGACTTCTAGCCTCCAAACTGTAAGAGAATAAACTCTTGTTTGCTCAAGCCATCCCATTTGTGATATATTCTTGTCAGAGTGGCCCTAGGTAACCACAACAGGACCCTTGACAATCCTCCTGAAAACTCGAATCTGGGTCTTGACCTTAGGTAGGAAACCAAATTATAATTCCAAAATTATCAACTAAACACATACCTCTAACCGTGAAATAGGTTGTGGGCCAAAGCTTTCTTCTTCCACTGAAGTATCTGCATTTGCTTCAAGTTGCATCTGCATAGCCATTACGCAGTTGTTTTATACTGAAAAAATACAGATGGCCATCAGGAAGTATACTAGAGAAATTCTGTGGGGTTAAATACAGAGCTGTAAACTTAATTTTGCAATAAACGTCTAAATAATTATTTGCTTTCAGTCTACTCACTGACCCATTCATTGCAGGAAAAACAACAAAACTCTCACTAGCTTCTGCCTCCTCCAGTCTAGATGATGGTAGCTAATTGTATCAGAAACTTTAGGAAAAGCCAGAACCTTTCTGCTGCTTAAAAATGTGCAGCTTAACTAGATCAACTATTCCACTATATTTCTCTGCTTTATATCTCTTGGTGACAGGGATCAAGTATTACATATTTTTCTCTATCCCATGATAAATAATAAATATCACGTGTTTAGTAAAAGAATGCAGACTTTCGAGGACTCTACCTTTTTTTTTTTTTAAAAAAAAAAAAGCTAGTGAGAGGTTTTTTTTTAAAAAGGTACATGAAAGGTTAAAGTGCTTCAGTTCCATAGTTCCTGTCTAGTAAGGGGAAATCGAGAGGGGACAGGAGTGAAATGAAGGCACAGAGGAGCTGCCCATAAGCCTCCATTCCAGGGAAACAGTGGTCCGAGATGAGATAAGTACTTCTTAGCATAGGCAAGGATAACAGCTTGTAGTCACATTTGTTGCTTCCAATAAAAAAACCCACTGCCATCGAGTCAGATCTGACTCACGGTGACCCCTCCTTGGGTTTCCAGGTGGCATCACTTCAGAAGCAGATCACCCAACCTTTCTTCCAAGGAATGGCTGGTGGGTTTGAACCTCCAGCCTTCTGGTTAGCAGTCAAATGCCTTAGGCACTAAGCCACCAGAGCTCCTGTGTTGTTTCCAATTGTTGTATAGGTATACGAAATTAAGGACAACCATTTTAGTTAATTCCAGAGCTTTATATACCTCAATGAATGAGCAAATCGATCAGTCTGAAATCTGCTCAACCTGAAATCTTCCATATAGTAGTATAAGGTAGTATAAGTAGTACCTAAAGTCAGATTATGAAAGTTAAGATTACTCAGCTTGGAAAAAAAATTGAGAAAACAACTTTATTGTCAGTGTATTAATAATAATGAACAAACTTGACATTCACAAGTATTAAATTACTTACATCACATCAAAAGGATCTGGACAAATTTAATCAAAAAGATATGTGCAGTCTCCATTCTTAGAGACTTGACAGAAGATCATCATTTGTCTTGATTAGTTTAGGTATAGATCTCTTAAATGGCAGATTTAACATATTGTGAATCTATGGCAAAATTCATTCAAATCATTTGGATTTAATGTAAATTTAAATATTTCCCTTCGTAATTTATACAATTCTGGGGTGCTAGAAGCCTTCTATTTCTTGACTTGTGATTACATAAGGAGCCCTGGTGGTGCAGTGGTTAAAGTACTGGGTGCCAACTGGCTGCAACAGGACGCTCCCCGGGAGTGAAAGATGGAGCAGTCTGCTTCCATAAAGATTTACAGCCTTGGAAACCCTATGGGGCAGTTGGACTCAGTCCTAAAGGGTCGCTGTGAGTACAAATCGAATCCGGGGCAATGGGTTTTTGGTTTGTGATTACGTAAGTACTCATTTTATAACAATTCATGGAGCTATAAACCTTTGTGATCTGTGCATTTTCTTATATGTCTTTTACACTTTACTTTAGAAGTTCAGAAAAAACCTCCCTTCAGATCATTCCCTAGGCATCACGTGAACAATCTCCCACAGGTATAATGCAAGTATCTTGTTGGCAAATGGAGATCGGTACTTTGTAAGCAAAACATGATTTAATGGAAAGAGGACTTAACAGGAATCTGAAAAACCTCACTCTGACATTAAGTAGTTGTGAACTAAGTCAGTATACCTCTCTGCGCTCTGCTTCTTGACCCATAATATGAGTGTTAGATAGGAAGGTGTCTAAGGTTCATCCCAGCTCTAAAGACTAGGGGGTCCGCTTGTTTTTCTCCACGAGGAGTTCTGAGGACGGTTGGTCCGGGCATGCCCCTACTACGCCATCACCGTTTCTTACTTAGCGCAGAGGGACTCTGTAAGCCGGCGGTGGCAGAACGGGCCTAGGCCCGATCCTGCTAACGCGGGGACGGACTGCACCGTGGAAAAGGACCTAGTCTGAGCCTTACACACTCACCTCAGCCTGCGGCACCGCTCGCTCCGGCAGGCCGCGCACTCCGACTTCCGTCCGCTGGCCTAGCGAACGCTCAGCTCAAGTCCTGAAGGCCCCAGCTCCACTTGGGCCGGATTACTCTACTCCTTTGCCTAAGCTTTCTGCATACAACTCAGACAAGGCAAGGCTCCCAGTTACGAGACTTTAGGGGTGCCTCACTTCTCACATCTCAGGGCTCGGTACCAGTGGCAACTCCCGCTCGTCCCGCGACTTTCGGAAACCCCGCCAAATCCTTTAGGGCAGGGTCACGTCCGCGTAAACGTAACGTCTCCCCGCCCAACTGGAATAAACATTCTAACCGCTTCGGCCTCTGTTCGAGAGCCGGAGATTGGCCCAAGGAACTTGCATGGCAGTATGGGTCTCTCTCATCGTTTTTCTCTTAAGCACTGCTATCTCTTTTCTGTCTCTCTCTCCGGGAGCTCTACCAGATGGGGGAATACCACGCCCAAGAAGTAGTGGGGGGGGGGGGACTACATCTCCCAGCATGCATCCCCGGCGGGTACCGCGGCTTCCAAGAGTCAACACCGGTCTCGGGAAGATAAATATGAGTCCTGAGAGCTTTGTGGGCTTGGTTGTCTTCTGCAGTGTGTGAACGTGGCCTTTGGCGTTTCGGGTTGCTCTGAAACGACACAAATTCCCGAAACCAGGCTCTTTCTGTGCCACTGGAGATGAAATTGGGAAATAGAGCTGGAATATAGCGCTCCCCGGGAAGTGAGAAACGGCTGAAATAGTAGTCTGAATCTGTGGTGTTTTACCAAGATTTGCAAGACCTCAAAGGAAAGAAGCATTGATTTCGATAAAATTTACCTTACCATGGTTTACCAGGAAGTTTGACCTACGGCCCCGATCTTAAAGGGTGAATAGGGTTTTCCAGACGAAGAAGAGGTGGACAACACAGCCGATAGAGCAGAAAGGTCATGGAAATGAACATGTTCAAGGAATAGCATTGTTGAGGAGGGAGAGTAGTTGCCATACAAGGTGTTGAAACTGGAAAGGTTTAGTTCATACTATGAAGAGACTGAAGACCATTCTAGGGAGCTTTGGTTTTTATTTTAGGTTATGAGGAAATCTCCACGAGGAGTTCTGAGGACAGTTGGTTAAACAGTTTTTAAGCAGACGAGTAATATAGTTAGATTTATCCCTCCCTCCCCAACTACCATTTTATATTTGTAGAGTACAAAATTTTCTTTTAACCCTCAAAATTATCCTGTGGTTGTGTATGTGTAAAGGATAGGCTCCAGGAGAGAGTTAAGCCAGCAAAAACTATTAGGAAATTATTGCATTATTTCAGGCAAGAGATGAAGGCTTAAGTTAGAGCAATGACAGGAAACAGATTCAGAAAGAATTATGGGAGTAACATCAACCTACCTTAATGATTACAATAAAGTATCTGGGAATGATACTGACCTTTAGCTTCTAGTTTAGCTGCTGCTTAGAGCGTCTGCAAGCCCAGTCTCAACTTGCTGAGTGGAAATACATGACTTTGACCTTTCTGGCTAGAACTGATGGGGCCAACAATGTTCATCTGACCCAAAATCAATAACATTTTAAAATTTTATACCAAAAAAAAAAAAAAATGCTTTATTGAGATATAATTCATAAGACCTTTGGTAGCATAACGCCTAAGGTATTGGACTGCTAACCAGAAGGCTGGCTGTTCAAAACCTCCAGCCACTCCTCAGAAGGAAGATTGGGCAATCTACTTCCGTAGTGATACTGCCTCAGAAACCTAAGGAGAGGTCACGATGAGTCCCATCCGACTCAACGGCAATGGAGTTTTTAGTTTTTATATAATTCACTCTTTAAAGTGGTTCTTAGTATATTCAGGTAAGTGCATCACCACATTCAATTTTAGAATATTTTCATCACTTCAAAAAGAAGGCCTTACCCTTTAGACATCACTATTTTCTTAATCCTTCTCCCTCCCCTCTCAAAGTAATCATTAGTCACACTGTCTTTATAGATTTTTCAGTTCTAGACACTTCTTGTTAATGGAATCATATCATGGTCTTTTGTGATTGGCTTCTTTCATTTAGCATAATGTTTTTCAAGATTCCTGAGGCAGCATGTTATCAGTATTTCATTCTTTTTTATTACTTACCAAATAATATTCCATTTTATGGGCATATCAAGAAGCCCTGGTGGTACAGTGGTTAAGTGCTTCACTGTTAACTGGAAACTTGGCGGTTTGAACCCACCATTCACTTTGTGAGAGAAAGTTACGGCAGTTGGCTTCCACAAAGATTACAGCCTTGGAAATCCTATGGGGCAGTTCTACTCTGTTCTATAGGGTTGTTGAGTTGGAATCAACTCAACAGCTATGGGTTTGGTTTTTCTGGTTGGCTATACCACATTTTAGGAGGTCTGTAGCATAGTGCCTAAGGCACTGGACTGCTAACCAGAAGGCTGGCGGTTCAAACCC